ACCTGCTCAGGCTGCTTGGAAGCCAGTTAACAGCCAGGTGGACAAGTTATTTAACCTGTCTGACGTCAAATCATCCCTTCCCTCTGGATATCAGAAATAAGGCTCAGAGAGGTGCAGTAACTCACCCAAGGTCATCCAGTTAATAAACAGTGGGGCTGGGGTTCAAAGGCAGGCCCATCAGGACCCATCTGGTTGCCAAATGCAACGCCACCTCATCGCCCCCCGGCCATAATGGGCAGAACTCCCGGGGTGGACAGCTGCCCGTGTTGTGCCTTTGCTTCACTCTGCCGCCTTTCATTCTGGTGACTGGCTGTCACCCCGCTTCCGAAGGCTCAGGGCAGCCAAACTGCCGGGACAGGCCGGCAGGGGGTGCTAGTGCCCGTGTAAAGACCACCAGCTCCCAGAGCTGCTCTGAGAAGAGCCATCTCAGATAGTACAGAATGAAGGTCAAAAACCGAGCGTCCCTATCGTGGGGCACCTGCTGGTCCAGACCCATCTCTGGGGCCAGATGCTCTTGCACAAAGGACTTCATCTCTGTGGCTGCAGCTTCCACAGCTGTAAAAGGGGTGGTGGAGGAGGGAACACACCTCCCAGGGGTACTGACACAGTAAAGTGAAGCACGGGGCCGGGCAAAGGGGGAAGGCTTTTAGCACGTAACTTAGTGGAATTTGCCTTCTTTATTAAGAGACATTTAATGATTCTCGTAGGATTATCGTTTCAGATTCTGCCCAAACACAGGGATCCTTTTTTGGACTTGGCTGCCTCTCTTCTTTCCTTCTGCCCTTTTATGTCTTTACCTGGCTTCCCTCTGTACTTCAAAGACTCCCAAACACTCCTGCCAGACCCTCCGGCTGTTATGCCCTTATAAACTACGTGGGCTGCCGGTTCAAAAGGCCCTCTTAGGCCAGGCCTAGAAGGGGGTTCCTTTCTTGCGAAAACTGCTGTGAGCCAAGTGCAGATTCAGGAACGTTGTTCCTTTGCTTGTGCATGAGTGTTTCCTCTGTCTTCCAGCCTAAAAACCAGCCAGTCCTAACTTCACTGACCTGCAAGGCCCCGTGCCGGGCAGAGACACACAGATAAATACGACACAACCACTAGAAGCAACTCCAGTGGGACAGAGATCCCAACAGACGTTTCAGAACCACTTATGTGCCGATCTGCAGAGATCTGCGCTCAGCACTGGCATCTCATCCAGTTCCCAAGAACCCACCAGGTACCATCCTAGGAAGACAGAATTCTCTCTACTTCACAGACCGACCTCCGAGCCCAAGGCCAGACAGGGACTGGATTATGTATATGACTATGTTGCTGTCTCCCTTAGCCTAAGCAGGCAGGGGCCCCTTGAAAATGTCCTCTTACACGGGATCCAAAACATGTACTCAATGTAGGTCGCTATGGCTGAAAATGCATTTTTCCCCTTATCCTTGCAAAAGGCAGCTGCTCAGTAAGTTTGGATTGTGGCCCGAGGTTTAGCAACACCAGCCCCTTTGGTGGCCCAACAGATCTCGGGGTTGTGACCCTTGGAATTTGAAGGCAACTCTACACACACAATCCCTCCCAGGTTCTTTTCCCTTCAACCATTAAACCATACACAAACAGGCCGGGAGACGAAACACTCCGTTATTTTCATGTGGTCATTCCTTTTCCCTCCTGCTTCACCTGATGCAGAAGAATTTTTCAGTAAAACTTCAGCTTTACAAGAATATGCAACAGAAAGGATTAGGGAACTTGGAGATCCAAAACCAGCTAAATGAGGGTTTTGTATATGTATTTTTTGTAATGTAAAGCAGTTCCAAGAAAAGTGAAGTCACAGCCTAGGTGGCTTATTTTCAGTTCTTAGAAAAGAGCCAATTTCGAAAGGGAAGCCGCGCTGCTCAAGCACACAGGCGCGCATTGTCTGGCGAGGGGCGCTCGCTGAGAAACCAACTTGGCTCTGGCACCGGGAAACTAAAACCTCCCAGATCCGTTTCATTTGGTGATGTCGAGGAGGAAACGCTAGCCGAGACAGCGAAAGTTATCAATATGCAGAGAAACCACACAGCTCGCAAACAGAAGTGGCTCGGATCCAGCACCGACCCACTGGACCACACACGCCCTCCTTCTCGGCCCCTCCCCCATCCTGAGGTTTGTTGCCCAGACGACAGTGTCAGCTCAACCAGCATTTTCCAATCGGGTATCATTTACCAGAAGTTAGGTGAGGACAAACCGGGCAGGATACAGTTCTCCGCAACACGGGGTCCGTTTTCTAGCAGAAAAGCAGATTTCAGATAAGGGAGAGCCAAGGTAGGGCAGATTTCAGGTTAAGGGACCTCCGGACTCTACCGCACACCCAGCTCAGGGGCTACTATTGGCTACCCCATAACAGTTTTGTGACAGAGTTTTAAACCTAAGAGTTCTGTAACAGAGATCCCATGGTCTGCACCAAGATTAAATTTCAGTGCAATCAAAAGCAACTGATCAACTGTCTCAGCCGGGGAGAGACAGGATGACAGACTGGAGTGTGGTGTCCTGGAATGGGATCCTGGCCTGGAGAGGACATAAGGAAAAAACTAAGAAACGTGAACAAAGTATAGACTTAGGTTAACAACATGTCAACATTGGTTCGTTGGTTTTAACAAATCCACCATACTAATGGAAGATGTTAACACTAGGGGAAGCTGGAGGCAGGTATAGAGGAACTCTTTGTATTATCTTTGCAATTTTCCTGTGTATTTTTTTTAAGGCAACTGATGGATATAAGCAAGAACTTACTGTTCCTCTTCCCAGCAACAATGATTTGGTGCCTGCCATATGTCAGGTACTATGTAAAAGTGATTTACATGTATCTTCATTTGTTCCTCCCACCAGTGCTATAAGCTGGGTACAAACTTCATTTTGTAAGAAACTGAAGAACAGAGAGGTTAGGTAACTTGCTCATAGTCACACAGCAAGTTTATTGACAGATAATGGGTTCAAATTCAGGCCTACAGGGCTGCAAAACTACTGTTAAAGCTCAGGGAGAATGCCTGAAAAACTCCAAACTGTGAACATAAACCAGTTCAAAACAAGCTTTATGTGGGTAACAAAAACAATACACTTTCCAATCTGCCCCACTTTTAAAAGACAATGCTATGTTTAAAAACACAGCCAACATCAAATGCTGGCAAGAACATGGAGCAACAGGAACTCTCAGTCATTGCTTGTGAAAATGCAAAATAATACAGCCACTTTGGAAGAAGTCTGGCAGTTTCTTACAAGGTTAACCATAAGACCCAGAAATTACCTCTAGGTATTTATTCCAATGCGTTGAAAACTCATGCCCACACAGAAGCTGTGCCTGTTTACAGCTGTTCTATTCATAACTATCGAAGATTAGAATCAAACAACATGTCCTTTGACAGTGAAGTATTAATAAACTGTGGTACATCTATATAGTGGAACACTATTCAGTGATAAAAAGAAATGAGCTATCAACCTGCTGAAAGACATGGAGGAAACTTAAATGCATATTAAGTGAAAGAAGCTGGTCTGAAAAAAATTACATACTGAATGATCCAACTGTTAATATATATGATAGTCTGGAAAAGGCAAAACTACAGAGACGGTAAAAGGATCAGTGGTTGCCAGGTTGGGGTAGTGGAGGGGTGGATGGGGGAGCCCAGAGGATTTCAGAGCAAACCGTTCTGCAGACACTGTAAC